GCCTGTGCTTTGAATTACCTGCTTTTAAGTCACGTGGCTGCGTTGTCACACAAATATCAGAGAAGATAAGACAACTGTGTAACGTCATTTGATCAAAAATGACAATGCATTTGAGAGCTAAGGAAATTGTTTATAAGTACAACTTGAGAATGTGGCTATTTAATTAAGAAATAGATACTATTTTTGTCTACACTGCTCTGTTAAATATCGGGTGATTCCAGAAAATATCCATACCCTTTGATGGGCAGCATGAACATGTTAACCCCTCCCCCCTCCCTTTNCCCACTCCAAGAAAATTCTGCTCACTACTTTTGGTTGCGCAAACAAGCAACTCAAGTTTGTTAATGTTATAGTACACCGTAGCTTTCCCCATAATATTCTTACGTGCAGGATGTCAGCTTCTGGGATATATCATTATTTCAAAGAAGAATAACTAGTTTAAAACTGAATGATCGAAACGCTTGCGTATAAACACCTGCCTGATTGATCCTTATCCTGCTTTCGCGGTTGGTTTCTGCTTGATGTACAAACCAGAAAAGTTATCAGATCAGCGATTTCAAGCGAAGCTTTTGCCGTCTCCCCCCCACTGGAAATTCAGAGCTGAAACTCCCCCATGCTTTTAGATTTCAAAACTACATTACCCCCCTCCCACTCCCCCTCCATGCCTTCAGAATTCCAGTCTAAGACCCTCCCCTCTCTTCCTCAGAATTCTAAGATGCCTCCTGTGGTATGGGTATGGATATTTTCTTGAATGACCCATTGTGCTCTGATCTAAGAATTATTGTATAAACAAGTATGCAGCCACAACACAATATAATATTGAAGTTGTAACCCTGTTTTCATGTACACTTGGTCATCTTTGTTGGTTTTCTCCTCATTAGGCTCAGAGCTTCATGTGTTTTGCTGGTTGGTATCAAAGGTCTTGGTGCTGAAATCTGTAAAAATCTTGTCCTGTCAGGTGTGAAATCTGTGACGATAGTTGATCCTAGTCCAGTAAATAAACAAGATTTTGTTTCACAGTTTCTTGTACAACGACAAGACCTAGGAAAAAATGTGAGTCAAATCATGGGACATATGTAACTAACAAAAACATAATGCTATTATTGTAAATATAGTATATGTTTTTGTTAGTTATTATTGCAGTTGTATAACCTGCACAATTATATTATAAGTTGAACCAACTTGACACTTTCATTGCAAATTATGATTATAACATTAATGTTGGCAGTCAATCAGGCCAAAATTTACAAAGGTCAAACTATTGCTTACTTGAAAAATGTCTTATTTGAGGGGTTTCATTCAGGAACTGGGCAAATTGGCCAGATGTGAGGATGATTTTGCTTGCTGGTTTGACCATCTAGAGAAAGTTTTTTTTAATAAAGAAGTTCAGTTCAAAAAGTTTAGCACACTTGTGAAACCATGTACCCTCCTGCTGTAAACATTAATGAAACCTCTGCTTATTCATGCTATGTAATCAATGATTGCTATTGTTAGGTAATACTTAATGTTATCCACGAGCTGTTCTGGGACATTTGATTCATTTTTCTAAATCTAAACTCAAACCTTGTATGAAAATCTTATAAAGACGTCTGGCAGCTTTGGGTGTGCAATTTCTGGTATAACATGATAGTTTGTATTAGTAATTATGTAGTGTGCAATTGTGTTACATGATTCTTATCTAGCGTGCAGAGTCATCTCTCCAGCGAGCTCAACAGCTTAACCCTATGGTGCAAGTTACAGCTGATTCTGAGGATATTTCCAATAAAAGTGACAGTTTCTTCAAAGATTTTGACTTGGTGGTAGCAACAAATTGTTCAGCAGATCAGCTGGTAGGTTCCAAAAGCCTGTTTTTATACATATTGTATCTTTAAAAGTCTAGTAACCCAGAACTGTGTCAGCTTATCTCGTTTTCTTTAGTATGAAGGGAGTATGTAGATCTAGGGGATATCACTAATTCCAAATTTTGCTTGCCCTGGGCAAGTCTTGGGTTACTTTTGTTTTGATTTGGTTTACATGTACTTTTGTTTCGATATGTAAATAATTTTACATAGGTTTTTAATAGATTATTTAAGAGGGCCACAAGTTTATTAGTTGTGTAACTGTTAAGTGTTACCCTCGATAAATAAAGATTGATTGATTGATTGATTAATTAAGTTGACAGAGAACTTGCCTGGGCCCTTACCCATTGGCAAGTGAGAATGAAAAGTTACTTGCCTGGCAAGAAAATCTGCTCGTCCTGGACAACTAAACAACACTTTTTTCAACCCCTTTAAACCCCTTTCATGCATGTGTAAGCAAGTTTGAAATAGCAAGGTTCTACTGTATATGATTTTCCCATTTTACTTGCCATATCACTTTAATTATTTTCTAGATTCACATTAACGACATTTGCCATGCTAATGGTGTTAAGTTCTTCGCTGCTGATGTGTTTGGCTTTTATGGATATATGTTTGCAGACCTTGGAGAGCACAAATATGTTGAGTATGTCATAGCATCACATTGCATCACATCACATAACATTATGGATCATGTGTGCTAAAGGCACCTGCAGTTGGATGTCGATCGATACCCTCGATTGACATCTTGATCAACACTTATCTCTATGGGTACTTAATGGACATCTCACTCAATACTTGGCTGACACTCAGTGGACACTTGATCAACGTCTCGATCAGCATTTAATTGACAGTCAGTCAAAATGTCTCTCAAGTGTTGACTGACTAATATGTATCGATTGACACTCAGTGGCATAGCTGCAAAATTAGTTGACTTTTGACTAAGATGTCGATGAAGTGCCAAGCGAGTGTTAGCCAGACATGTCAATCAAGTATGGGTTGAGTGTCAATTGAAGTTATCGATCGAGGGTATCGATTAACGCTCAACCACAGATGCCTTTAGTACACATGATTCCATATTACTTTACTTTACTTTGCTTTGTATAGCATATTTAAGTTGTTATCTATTTTATTGAAATTAGCTCAAAGTAAAGAAAATATAAGAAGAAAGTAAAGAAAATGAGCCCATAACTTCTAGAGTGGAAATTGTTCATTGCTTTCAACTAACTGGGGTTATGTAGATTGGACAGACTTGCAGGTCTGAAGACCTGTAAAATTACAGACTTTCAGAACTACAAAATTAATGTTGAGACCTACAGACATCTAGACTGGCATGCGCAAATATATAAACCTGCAGATGTAACAAAGGAGTCAGTCAGAGTAGAGCTCTGCCAATTAAACAAAAGAGATGCGTCAAATATCCCTCCAAAACAAACAAAATATGTCCGAAAAACATATTTTATGTGCTTTCCTTTGTATTGTGGACACCAAGAGATTCGGTCTGTATCCAGGAGACTCACCGATAATCAAGGAGAGATGGCATAGATGATGCTTGCCCAGTTAGATTTCAAAGGAAGACTTAAACACATGATGTTTTCAAAAGTCCAAAATGATCATTGTTGTCTAGTGGAACAGCTGACATTATAGTTTGGCATAGTTAGGCTTAAGAGAGATGTTAGGAGTAACAACTGAATTTTTTAGAGAGAAACCAAAGATTATCAAGGCATCACAAAAGAAATCCTCAAGATCAGATGGTCAGCCAGATGTAAAACGTAGAAAAGTTGATGTCAATGAAACTACCATAGTTCAAAAGGTAACACTTTGTTTCTTTTAGTAAGCAAATACACTGTCTTATGTGAAAATGATAGAAATTGCAATGTGTAAGCACAAAGAATTTGGCAAATACAAGAGCAGATAAATGTGTGATGAATAAACAAGTGTGTGACCATGTGAATAGATGCTGGATCATGTGTACTTAAGGCATCTGCAGTCAAGTGTCGATCGATACCATTGAGCGACTGTCGATTGAAATCTTGGTCGACACTATTGACACCTGGACTGATACTCTGTCAACACTCAATCAACATCTCGGTTGACAGTAGGTCAGGAGTCCACTAATTATGGCAGACGCCAGTAAGTGTCAATCCATACATACAAGTGGGTCAACACTTGGCCAACTATCGACTGACTGTTGATTGAGTGTTGACCAAATGTTGATCAAGATGTCGATCAAGGGTCCATCTGGTGTCAATGTGATTGAGATGTCAATTGAGTGTTTATCAAGATGTCGATTGAGTGTCGATAGAGGGTCGATCAAGGGTACTGATTGACACTCAACTACAGATGCCTTTAGTACACATGATCCTAGAGGCCTTTATTTAAGTGTCAGTCTAAACAAAGTTAAGTTCCATTTCTTTAATAGTTGTTTTTCAGAGAATATATCTATTTTCAAAATGCTTTCTACAATAAACACACAACAACACAATGTTAGGGTGATCTAGACTGTACAACAATTTTTGCATGCATCAAGCTTATCATGACAACCCAACGACATGATTTGCGAAACTTACAACTTGCTTTCAAAGTTACAGGTTCTATTTACATGTGTCCACAGTTGTAGTAAGCTTGTTACATGCTCCATATTTATACTGGCTTACCAGCCCTTTACATGTTTAGTTTGCAGAGTTCTATAGATTGAAAGCTGCACTGACTTGCAAACTGGATAACAGACCTGCAAAGATTATAAAAAGATTACCCTCTGTATATTTTATGTTGAAAGGTATGCATTTGTTTGGAAACTTCTGATTAAAACGATTAAACTTGTTTGATAGAGTTAAGATGTTGTCGATGTTGTGGGAGTTTGAGAGTGTACAGTACATACTTGTATTTGGATAAAAACAGTGCAGAACTTTCTACATTTAGATTCCGAGTGAAATACTCACACTGATGCGATGTAACAGTTATGGTCATTGTGCACAGCGGGAGAAAGATCTTCAAAGTCTATTAACAAAAAATGCCGCATTTCATTTACTATCTACGCTGTTCACTTTGCAGTTATATTAAAATTTCAAAGTCAGTATGGCAGATTACCGCAAACTTCCATGACTACCAAGGAAAAAGAGCAATTGTTAACATTACGTGATGAAGTAATGCAAGAACTTAATCTTGACGTAACTCTTCTTCCCGATGAGTTTGCTAGGTAAGTGTTGTTCAGTATAATTTTAAACAGCCATTTCCTTTTTCAAACACATTTATAAGCTCTCATGTCAGGGTTATCGATTAGGGCTGTAATCTCCAACACCTGTTAGGGCTGAATACTACAATTATCAGTTGAGTGAGGCGTGTTGCAGGGTCTTCTCCTAGCTCCAAGGGTTTTTCTCTGGGGGTGGGGGAGCCTCCCATTGAGAAAGGACTCATCAGAAATTTTGAAAAGAAATTTTGTGGGCATGGCTTGAAACTTTTTTCATCCCTTAGAGGTACAATTCTAAAACAACACAATCCTCAAAGTTATCTCTTGTCATATTTGTTTTGGCTCAATACC